TGCCTGTTCAGTGCCTGATGAAGGGCTTGGAACTGGAAAGCGGAAAAGGAGTTTGCCCTGCTCGAAAATGACAAGAAAACTCTAGATCTGTGGTCTAGCATGAGCCACGTGAGCCCGGGGGTGGATGGGGTGGCTGGGGCGCGGTGTGGAGTGTCCCAGAAGGAAAAAGGAACCGAGAACACAAAATTCATCCCATGTGAGTGCTATTCGCCCTCAGCAGAGGACCCGGGACCGCGGTGATGCTGCCCCCTGGTGGCGGAGAGGGGTACCGAGTATCTCGCAGCTCCTGGCAGTCTACCTAGTGCGAGAGGCGTTCACAAGGGCGGCAGGAGCAGCTTCTTGGGTGTGCATGCTTCATGTCCAGTTAGCCTGTTTATGTTGGATTGAAATTTACTATTACTACTATCCACGGCTGTAAGAGTCTAAGATAACATGTCGAGTTTCTCTGAGATGTTCTGGTTTGCCACCAACAGAGAAACCAGTATCTTGATGCAAGCAATTTCCAGCTAACAATCTCTGCAGGACTGTGGACCTGCAGAAGAATTACACACACAAACGCACATTTTAGAAAAAGAGGTTCACAATTTCAGCGGTCGTTAAAATGCCAATTCACTGCCATCAAGGCTGATGGTAAAGAAGAGAAACATTGTGATTTTAACAAAAACAGTATCATTTTGTCACAAAATATGAGAAGTAACGGCCGGGTGTAAAATAAGAAAGGGAGCTCACAAACAAGGATACCTTGGAGACGCGTTTCACAGGTAAAAGGCTAAAGCTGAGAAAGGAATTCGTGTGACCTTTCATAGTAAACTGCGGGCTTCCATCCTCCTGCCCCACTGGGCACACGGGAGTTGGAAGCTGTCCTCCATGTCACTGTGTCGTGCTGGTTGCCCCACACGGCCCCATTTCTAATTTCTAAAGATGTCAAATCAGATAACACATCTTGGGTGATTGGATCCCTTTGAAGGATTGGATTAACGAGTAAAGAATGAAATGTAGTTAGCCAAAGCGTGGCCCAGGAATCATGGAGAAGAGGCTTGTTGTGACCTGTTTTTTAAATCTTGGAATTTGGTTTCAGGTTCATGTGATTGAGGCTGTGAAGTTATTTTTATTAGCTTTAATCAAAGAGACCCCAAAAAGATTGACAGGGAAGGAGTGAACCAGGGGAAGCAGAAAGTTTCAGATTCTGTGGCAACTCTAACAGGGAACCAACTTTGTACTTTCATTAATTTGTGCACACGTGCATGTATGTGTGCGCATGTGTGAGACAGCACTTTATGGAGGAGATAGTGGTGAGGTCCCTTAAATGCACAGTGTTAGTATTTGAATAACTGAGGATAACACACTGTTAGGAGATAGTAAAAGCTTATTTTTAAAACAATGAAATGCTTTATTTCTTCAGTGTTAAAGAATAACTTAAGATTCCAGGGCTCACAGTATTTTCATGTTCAGAGAACGGTGATTGTGTAAATTTTGGAGGTAGCTTTTTATTTTTACAGTTTTAGTGGCAGCCATTAGTTGTTTTCCAGTTGACTACTGGCATACTAATGTTCAGTAAAATATGTATTTTTAGGGTGTACAACAAAAAACATTAGCAATCCTTCAAAGTTAAAATTTTGTTTTATGCTTTATTTTTGCTGAAATAGCTCCATCTCCTTTTCAGTTTGGGTCCTGGGTATTTATGCCTTACACACACACACACACACACACACACACACACACAGACACACAGACACACACACACACACACACAAACCATAACCTTACTATAGTTTTGGTAGGGGCTCAGGAATGGGTGAAAATAAAAGCATATTTTTAATTCCTGTTTGCTTTTGAATTTTATAGTGTTCACCTTTCCTTATGATTTGATCTGATGTTATTTTCTACATCATGTTTACAAAAACATTAATCTATATTGTCATCCATTGCATGTATTTAAATATCTGGTCTTTTATTTACCACATATGATGAAGTTGTGATAATCTTGAGATGAATTTATTTTCTACAAGGGAAGAAACATTAAATCTTTAAGAAAAACAAAGAGCTGACTAACAAAGGAGAAGTAAGCACAGTTATCACTTGGTTCTGCAGTGTAAACTGATCATGACCCAAATATAGTGTTCATGATTATCGTGTTTAGAGGATGGAGAGACAGAAGAGAACAATTATTAGTAAGACAGCTGAATCTTCACTCTGTGTGTGTGTGTGTGTGTGTGTGTGTGTGTGTGTGTGTGTGTGTATGTGTGTGAGAGAGAGAGAGAGAGAGAGAGAGAGAGAGAGAAAGAGAGAGAGAGAGAGAGACTGAGACTTTGGAAGTATGGCACTAACTCCTGGCAGAAATAATTTAGGAGTTAGAAGTTATAGGAAATGGTGTTCAGAATAAGATGTTGGGCTGGCAAGCTGCAGCCCCTCCAGGCCAAGAACCACCAGCAACTCCTGAGATCCGTACCATGTTGGAACTTGGGGCTCTGGGAAACCAAGCAACCAGCTCGCCTCCCTGGTAAGTGGCTGTGAGCCTATGGGCTCTCGGGCTGAGAATCAAACATCCCACCCCACCACCCCATTAGCAAGAGATCTAAGCATCTCTTGGGAGGTTGACCATATACAGTATAACAAATATGGGGAATTTCCTTTTACTATTTCTTTGAAGGCAAATATTGTTATCACTGTTTTGCTTTGTTCTGATTAATGGTATTGTTCTATTCAATATTCTGTTTTGGTAAGTTCTATAATGTTCTGTATTTGGTTTGATTTTGCTATGCCTGATTAAAAGAACAACTATTGTGAAGATAACAAGACGTACTGTGGTACCTATCACTGTTATCCCGGTAGCCTGCTCTGAAGTTCTGTACCAGTTTCACTTCACTGTCTCAGTTGGCTTTGTTCTGTATTGTTCTGTTGTATTTTACTAACTTCAAAATAATAAAAAATTTTAAAAAGAATAAGATGTTGGTAATTTCTGCTTTTTTTAAAGCCATGAGTATGCATATTTGACTTTTTTGCATTATGTACAGAAAGAAGAAAGAACAAGACAACGCTGTCAGAGATGAAGGCAGACAAGGAGTGTGGCCATCATTCTTTGGCTAAATAAATAATACGTTGCATGCCTACCTCGAGCAGGGTGCAAGGCAACACCAGGCATGCAAGTGCAGTGGGATAACTTAGTGAAGTACAAAGTCTTGTTTGTTCCGCCTGTTTTTCCTCTCCTCTTAGAGCAAGCAGAGCTTTTGGCAGGGCTGAGTGTATATGAGTATCCAGATATCAAATGTTCTTCTGCGTTTTGTAAAAGTCAAACTAAACCTGGGATGGGATTCTGCCCTGAAGGGGCTGGAGAGAGGGAGAGAGCTTGTTAAGACTTCCGAGGGTGTTGGTATCCTGCTGGAGTGGGCACTAGGCTCTAACGCCTGCCTGTGACAAAGCAAGTGCTAGGACTGCCTGGATAGCGTTGAGGGTGTGACGGGGAGCTCAGGCCCCAGCCCAGAGGTACTCAGATCTGAAGTCCTAAGTCTCCGATTTGTAACAGGTCCCAAGAGACACACCCACGGAGGCCATCGGATCAGGGCACTCCCTGGTGTTGGCATGGTACCGGGGAACAGTAGGAGGTGTTCCCTGATTGTTGGTGTTTCCACGACCTTTCCATATCCTTTGGCAGATGGGATTCTCTGAGACTCCTGCCGTTGAAATTTTCATCAGCACTCCGGTGCAGGGGCTTAGAATAGAAATTAAGTTCGTTTAAAGAACGTTTAAAAAGTGCTGTATTTGTTTGGGGCATGGTGGTGGACTCCTGCAATCCCAGCATTTGGGAGGCTGAAGCAGAAGGATCACTGCAAGTTTGAGGCCAGCATGGGCTACATTGAGTTGGAGGCCAGCTTCGGACTACACAGTGAGATCCTGTCTCAACCCCCACCCCACTCCAAAGGCTTGTATTTCTTGTACATCTGAGTTTGCAGGCTAAGATCACATCTGATGCACAAGGATAGGTAGGGAGGTGCCCCAAGAAGAGTGAAGGGCAGACACTTTAATGATTTTATTTGAGTGATAAATGTCGTGGCACACTCAGGCCTGCTGATGGGGCGGCCACCTCTAGCTTCCTAGGTCGCGGGCTTCCTTGTCTTCCCTGGATTGGTCCCTACTTGGTCCTCAGCCAGGGGCTTTGCCTCTCCTGCTTGGGGCATAGGGAAGATCTCTGTGCTGAGGCAGAGGAGACAGAGGAGAGCCCAGCTGAGACTGATTTATGTTTGGATTCTGGGCTTCCAAAGACTCGCCCCTGGATACTTGTTCCTTGGTGTCAAGAGGTTAAAGGAGCTCAAGTATCTTGGGTCCGAGCCAGGGGAAAAAGGAGGCAGAAAGGGATGGGGAGGAGGCTTTCCCAAGAGGGACTCAGGAACCCAAATAGGAATAGCGAGAGATCACAGGAGCCCCATGAATCAGTGGGAGCGGTGGGGGGCTGAGCTGCACTGGACAGGTTTTTGGAGTGGGTGGGAGCTCAGGGCCTTCCAGCATTGAGATTGTGCCTTGGGATCAGCAGAACTCATGTTTGCCTGTGTTACTAATGAGCCCAGACCATGTTATCACTTCTGGGGACCCTTGGGGGGCACTGGGAAGTTGTTATTGCTAGGCCCCAGGGAAAGGGGAAGCAGACTGCTTAGATCTGAGAAAAAGACTCACTGGTCACTTATGGAGTAAGAGAGTACTGCAGAAAATTAGCGAGACATCTTTGCAGGGTTCCTGAGACGCAAAGACCCGAAAAGCCATCGTGTGCGTGTGTGCTCATGTGTGTTCTTTCCAGCCCCAGATTCCTTAGAGACCAAGGCCCATCCTACCCACCAACCTCCCTGCAACTTTCCAGAGATCTGGACACCTGGGAGAGAAGATACCTGTTGACGTGGATGGCAATGTGGAATTTGCCACCGGGAGCTCTTAGCTGGGACCCAGCAGTACATAACCTTTCCCCGCAGTGCCTCCAGCCTCCCGTGTACACAAACACACAGGACCAGGTATTTGGGTGGAAGGCTGGCACCGATTTTTATTTAGGTATAAATCACATTTATAAGGAACAGGTGGGTGCAGTGGGAACAGCGTCCGGTCTTGGGCCCTGGGTGACTGACCAGAGGGTACAGTCCTGCTGTCGCCTCTCACACAGCCGGGGAGACTCTTTTTCCTCTGCCTCTCTGGGCCTGGCTCTGTGTGGGAAGCTCACAAGCCATGCAAGGTAGGGAAGGGAATGCAGAGGGACGGTGGCAGCAGGAGAAGGGGTGTGACAAGGCCACCCTGGGGTGGCTGCTCTGGGGCCCCTGAATCCTTCTTCTCTTCCAACCTTCTTCTTGCCCTTGGGTTGGGGCTTCAGGCTCTGCTGAGGCTGGGCTCCCGGCTGGTCGCTGAGCTACGGCCCTTGTGTTTTCTCAGTCCTGGGCAGGCGGAATCAGCATGTGAGGGGCTGACCGAGGATCCCCTTCGCCTGCCTCCCTGCCCTTCGGCTTCCTCACCTCTTGCAGCCTTTGGAGCCCTTTCCCCTTTTCCCAGCCTTAGGGTTCCCTCTGTCCTTCCTGCAGCCCTGGACTGGCGGGTTGTCCAGACGCTTCATCAGCTGCTGCACCCAGGCTTCCTTGGGGTCTGCACAGAGCTCGGGCTGGGAGCGCTTCTTGGGCAGGAACCTGGGAAGTGGAGTGAATAAGCCTCCTTAGTCCTGCCCCACTCAGCCACCAGCCTGCGCCCCCTCCCCATTCCCACTCACAGGATAGCTGGCATGGGGCAGCCTAAGCTCAGTTCTTGCTTCCGGTAGCTGCGGACGACCTTGTAGGGAATCTTCTTTTGGCTGTACTTGAGGCAGCAGTCCTGGGCCCCACCGTCACTGCCTGCAGGGACAAGGGCTGCTGAGGAGCTCTGACCCAGGCCTCTCCAGCCCCTTCCCCAGCTAAGGCTCCTCCCTCCTTCCTACCTTGTGTCTGGGTGATGCAGAGGGCCAGGACCAGGACAAGGAGCCTCAGAGCCAGCATCTGAGCCATGGCGGTGGCTGAAGATGGGGATGAGGCCAGAGCTGTGGTTGAAATGGGCAGCCACACGTTGGGGGTCTGTGTGTGGGCTGGGACTGGCCCCGCTGCTTATTTATGTAGTTGGACACTTTCACTTCCCTCATCGTCCCCCCTCCTCTTCCTTCCTGAGAGCGGGCCCTGTGCTGGCACTCAGCCTCACTAGAACCAGAAACACAAAACCATCAGTCCCCAGCTGCCTGCCTATGTCTTCTCAGTTGCAGTTGACTGAGTCCTTTCCTTCTGTTTCGGACACTGCCTTGGTATAAGCCTTGCTGTTTGTCTTCCAGAATGCGGTGATTGCTTCCTTACCCTGCTTCGGCTCTGTGCACTCCCCTGCCTTCCAGAAAGTCTGATTTTTATTGTTGTTGTTGTTTTTGAGACAGGGTCTTGCTATGCAGTTCAGGCTGGCTTTGAACTCACTATGTAGCCCAGGCTGGCCTCAAACTCACAGTGATCCTCCTGCCTCAGCCTTCCAAGTGCTGGGATCACAGGTGTGCACCACCACTCCAGGCAAAAAATCCAGTTCCTGAATTGCAGGAGATCTTTAGCTATCTTCAGTAAAAAATCTTTCTCAGTTATATGATTTATAAATATTTTCTCTCATTTTATAGCTGTCCTTTGATGCACCAAATTTTAAAACTTTGATGAAGTCCAATTTAAGAAGTCACTGCCAAGTCCAGGTCCACCAAAGCTTTCCCTATATTTTATTTTACAAGTTCAACAGTGTCAGCTTTTATGTTTAGGCCTTTAATGCACTTTAGGGTAAAGGCCCAGCTTCTTCTGTGTGAAGATGGCTGGGTTTCCCAGCACCATTTGTGGGAAGGGCTGCTTCCTTCCCCTACTAGATAGCTTTGGTGCCATGGTTGAAAACAACTGACCGTCTGGGTGAGGATTTCTTCCTGGGTTCTCTGTTCTATTGCCCGGTCTACTTTTCTCTTCTTATGTCACTACTAGACTCTTGATTACTGGAGTTTTAGTAAGCTTTGTTCTTCTTTTTAAAGATTATTTTGGCTCTTTGTGGTTCCTTGAATTTTCATTTGCATTTTCGGGTGGGTTTTATTGTGTCTGGAAAAAAATTCTGTGGGATTTAAGTAGGTATTGCACTGAATTTATGGATCACTTTGGATTGTATTATATAGTCATATTGTCTTCCAGTCTGCGAGGAAAAGACATCTTTCCATTTATTTAGGTTTTTAAAATTTCTTCTGACACAGTTTTGTAGTTTTTAGTGTACAAACATTATACCCACTGGGTTAAATTTATTCCTAAGTATTCTTTTTGGTGCTATGAAAATAAAATTGTTTTCTTAGTTTCCATTTAGGATTGTTCATTGTTGGGATATAAGTATACAGCTGACTTTTGTGTGTTTGTATGCTGAAACTTTACTGAATTCATTTCTTAGTGTTTTTTTCTTTTTATTTTTGAGAAAGAATCTTGATATGTATAGTTTAGGCTAGCTTTAGACTCATGATAAAGTCTAGGCTGGTCTTGAACTTGTAGTGATCCTCTTGCCTCAGCCTCCTGAGAGCTGGCATTACAGGTCTGTGCTGTCATGTCCAGTTCTCATTTATTAATTCCAACAGAGGTGTGTGTGTGTGTGTATGTGTGTGTGTGTGTGTGTGCCTGTGCTTGGGTGGTTTGTTTAGTGTTTTCTACATAGGAGATCATGTCATATATGAATGGAGACAAATTTCCAGTTTGGATGCCTTTCGTTTCTTCTTCCTGCCTAATTCCTCTGGTGAGAACTGTACTGAATGGAAAAGGTAAAAGTGGACGTCTTTGTCTTGTTCCTGATCTTAAGGGGACAATTCCAGTCTTTCTCTAGTCTGCTGTTAGCTATGGGTTCTCTTCTATGACTTTTATTATGCAGAGGAAGTTCCTTCCTAGTCCTGATTTATTAACTGTTTTTTAAAGTCATGACAGGGTGTTGAATTGTGTCACAGGCTTATTCTGTGTCAATTGACAAACAAGATCACACATTTCTCCCTTATTCTGTTAATAAGGTATTAAACAGATTGATACTTGTATATTGAACCATTTTTCCACTCTGGGAATAAATCCCACTTGGTCATAGCATATAATCATTTTAATATACTGCTGAATTTGGCTTTCTAATGTTTGTTTAAGATTTTTGTATCTGTATTTGTTAGCAGTATTAGTCTGTACTTCTCTTGTGGTATCTTTGTCTAACTTTGGTTATCAGGTAATGAATGCTGCCTTCATAGGATAAGGTAGGAAATGCTGGTTCCTCTTTCATCTTTGGGAAGAGCTTGAGATGGATGTAAGCTCTTCTTTAAATAGTTTATGGATTTTTCAGAGAAGCAGTTGATCCTGAGGTTTATTGGAATTTTTACTACTGATTCAATCTCTTTACTTGCTATTGATGTATTCATATTTGCTATTTCTTTAGTCAATTTGGATACTTTGTGTATTTGGAATTTGTCTATTTCATCTAGGATATTTAATTTATTTAATATAGTTGCTCATAGCATTCTCTTTTAATTCTTTTTATTTTTGTCAGATTGATATGGATGTTACTACTTTCATCTCTGATTTTTGGGTCTTTTTAAAATTTGTCAATCTAACTAAAGGTTGGTTAATTTTACTGATATTTTCAAAGATTCAACTTTGACTTTATTGATTTTTCTTTAATTGTTTATTCTTTACTGCATTTATCTCTGCTTTTTAGTCTATATTGCATTTATCTCTGCTTCAATCTGTACTATTTCCTTCTTCCTGTTATATTTGGGTTTAGTTTGCTGAACTTCTAGTTCTTTAAAATGTGAGCCAAATGTGGTGGCACATGCCTGTAATCCTAGCACTTGGGAGGCTGAGACAGGAGGATCGCTGTGAGTTCAAGGACAGCCTGGACTACAAAGTGAATTGAAGGCCAGCCTGAATGGCATAGCAAGATCCTGTCTCAAAAAGATCCCAATATACAATTAGATTTGGGATCTTTCTTCCTTAATACAAGCACTCACAATAATAAATTTCCTTCAGTACACTTTTCCCTGTATTGTATAAGTCTTGGTATATTACATTTTTGTTCTCATTTGTCTCAAGTTCTCTTTTCTTCTTTTCTTTTTCTTTTTTTGAGACACGTCTTGCTATGTAGTACAGCCTTGAAGTCACTATGTATCTTAGTCTAGCCTTGAACTAGCAGTGATCCTCCTGCCTCAGCCTCCCAAGTGCTGGAGTTACGGGTCTGTGCCACCACAGATGGCTCAGATTGTTTTTTAACTTCCGCTGTGATGTCTTCTTTGACTCTTTGACTGTTTACAAACGTGCTGTTTAATTTCTGTACATTTATGAATTTTCTAGTTGCATCTCTAGATGAATTTGGGTTTTGTTCCACTGGGGCTGGGAAAGATACTTTATATGATTTTAGTCCTAAAATTTATTGAGACTTGTTCTGTTGTCTTAACACTTGGCCCCTGGGAGAATGTCTCATGTGCACTTGAGCAGAATATGCGTTTTGCTATTCTTGGCAAAATCTCTGTGTTCTTTAGGTATAATTAGCTTGTAGTGTTTTCAAGTTCTCCATTTCCTTATTTATCTTTGTCTGATTTTTAAATTCCTTATTTCATTTGAAATTGGGTGTCAGAGTCTCCAGCTGTTATTAAAGAATTGCCGGTTTCTCCTTTCAATTCTTTCAATGCTTTAGATGTTTTGTGGCTCCTGTTATGTCATCTTGCTGCACAATGCTTTTTACAAACTAGAGCGTCCTCTGTCTCCTGTGATGGTTTGGAAGGTGTCGTGTGTAGAGCCTGGAGATCCGAGCAAGGCATTGTCTAGTGAAGAGCTCCACTGCCGCGCTGTACCCCGGACCTAAAATGTTATTGTTTGAGAATAATAAAGCCAACTCGGAGCTCTTTCAATTACTGTTTGCATGGAATATTTTTGTTATCTTTTACTTTCAAGTTCTTTGTGTTTTTCTTTAACCACAGTATCTTTGGGGCTGGGGATTTAGCTCAGCGGCACAAGTGCTTGCCTGGCAAGTACAAGGTCAAGAGTTCAATCCCCAGTACCAAAAAAAAAAATAAAAAAAAGAGTATCTTCTAAATAACACACAGGCAAATCATATATTGCAAATAAATGATTTTAAATAGCTTAATTAATTTGCTGTAAAGTAATTACTTATAAGGGAATAATTATTTCTATCACTTAGGTACTTGTTTTCTGTACCTTTTCTTTCTTTGCTTTTTAATGTTTGCATTATGGTTTTTTTGTATTTAGTTCATTTTTTGGTAGTATACCCTTGTGATTCCTTTTGCTTTCCTTTTTGTGTATTTTGTAGTTATTTTCTTGTGATTATCACGGTGATTAAAATTCACATCTTAAACTTATAACAGCCTAGTTTATGTTTATTGATTGAGCCAGGGTCTTGCTGTGTAGCTTATGCTGGCCTTGGACTTGAGGTGATTTTCCTGCTTCCGTCTCCTCCTGCTGGGATTACAGAGATGTGCCACCAAACCCGCTAATTAATTTGAACATACCATTTTAGTTTCAATAGTAAATAAACACTGTTCCTATTCACCTTAGTCCTTTTCCATGTTGTCACAGATTATGTTTTTATATATTGTGCACTCACTAACATAGATTTATAATTATTGTTTTAAACATTTGCTTTTTCAGTTATATAGGGAAAAAAGAGGAGTTACCAACCAAAAACACAATAGTGCTAGCTTTTATATTTGTATATTGTACTTCCTTTTACTGGAGATCTTTATTTCTTCATGTTATCACTTACTGGCCTTTTGTTTCAGTGTGAAAAACTGTTTAGTATTCTTTTTTTTTTTTTTGTCTTTTTGAGACAGGGTCTCGCTATGCAGTTCAGGTTGGCCTTGGGCTTACTCTGTAGCCCAGGCTGAACTCGAACTTACCACAATCCTCCTGCCTCAGCCTCCAGAGTGCTGGGATTACAGGCATGAGCTACCACAACCGGCTCACCCTTTAGTGTTTTTTATAGGCAAGTGTATTGGTGATGAACTCTTCAAAACTTTTTATATGGAAATGTCTTATTTCTCTTTAATTCTTGATGGATAGTTTTGCTGGAAATAGGATGTTTGACG